CTACAGAAGACCCTCTATTAAACTTATACCCCAAGATTTAGACAATATAGCAAAATTCTTAACGCCCAACACCTTTATCCTCGGAGACCTAAACTCTCACCATCCATTATGGGGCACAAAACCCCATACTGACAATAACGGCTTTCTTCTATCTAACTGGGGGCGGTGGGGTAGCCTAATGGTTAAAGCGTTGGCTCGTCACGCCGAAGACCTGGGTTCGAATCCCCACATGGGCACAATGTGTGAAGCCCATTTCTGGTGTCCCCCGCCGTGATGTTGCTGGAATATTGCTAAAAGCGGCGTAAAACCAAACTCAGTCAGTCAGTCAGTCTATCTAACTGGCTAGACGACCACAACCTCATCACACTAAATGATAACCAACCAACCAGATACCCACTCTCCCACGTTCAATCACCCACAGCAATAGACCTAACAAACACCACCCCTACATATACAAAATCTTGCCTATGGGAGGTACATTCAGACACCTAGGGCAGTGACCACTGCCCCATAAAAATTACCATATCTACACTACTTACACCAGAACCACAAACAAATCCCCATACTACCCCCACCCCCAGCACAGAAATCAAATACAATGTACACAAAGCAGACTGGAATAAATTCACTAAACTATGCAATCAAGTTAACCCATCCAACATAATAAACACTGACACAGAAACCTTTAACTCACAGCTTACCAACACCATCATTGATATAACAAATTCATGCATACCCACTTTTCGGACCACTCAAGCACAGAAAACAGTCCCATGGTGGAGCCAAGACATTATCAATGCCAGAAAGGCACGAAAAAAGGCCCTCAATAAATCAAAGAGGGACCGTTCAAAATTACATTTGGCTAAAAAACTCAGAAACAACACAAAACAACTAATCAAGGCAGCAAAAAAGGAACACTGGAGAAAATTTTGCTCGACCCTGAGGCTAAACCAACACAACTCTAGAAAAATGTGGAAAAAATTTAAAGCTATTCAGGGAAATTCCAAATCCATAATTCAACCAAAACTTCCGAACCTCCCCACAAATAAAGAAAAAGCTAATACAGTTGCTGCCCACTTTTCGAACACTAGTAGCTCCACCAACTACACAGCAAACTTCCAAAACATCATTAAAACCAACCACCCTACTCACCTGAGCCACCCCACTCACACCTACCCATAAACAAAAACATAAACATACACGAACTTAAGGCAGCTCTCAAACATAAAAAAACAGCCTCAGCCCCTGGTCCAGATAACATTACATACACCATACTCAACAAACTTCCACCAAACATGCTAAACTTAACACTCACACTATTTAACCATATCTGGACCACAGGAAACATACCATCTTCATGGAAAACAGCTAAGGTGGTGCCAATTCTAAAGCCAGGGAAACCCATTAACTCCCCAGATTCATTTCGACCTATTTCCCTCACTTCACACTTATGTAAAACACTAGAGTCTATAGTAAATAATAGGCTAAAACATCAAATCCAAACCCACAACTTAATTAAGCAGGACCAGAGTGGCTTCACTCCAAATAGGCAAACTTTAGATCACATTGTACATTTGGAACACGATATTAAGGTAGCCCAAGCACAAAAACAATACACGCTGGCCATTTTTATTGACTTTAGCAAAGCTTTCGACATGATCTGGCACAACGGCCTAATCCAAAAACTACAAGAAAATGCCATACACGGGCGTATTTGAAATTTCATACAGGCATTCCTCAAAAATAGACAAATAATAGTCAAATCTCACAACACTGTCTCGGATCCTTTTCCACTAGAAAATGGAATCCCACAGGGGAGCATAATTTCCCCAACACTTTTCAACTTTATGATTAGCGACATATTTCCGGACAAGTGGCCAGAAATTTCTACTGCAAAATTTGCTGATGACATTTCCTTCTGGACATCATCCACCTCAGGAAACCAAGCCACAATCAAAACTCAAAGAATGCTAAATCACATACAAAACTGGGCCCATAAATGGGGGTTCCACATTAACGTTAAAAAAACCGTTGGCATCTTATTCAAAAAGCAAAGAATGCAAAATTATACACCCAAACTCCATCTTAATAACCAAGAAATCAAGTTCGAAAAAGAGGCAAAATTCTTAGGTGTAACTTTTGACCAACACATGACATGGACACCCCACATTAATAATCTGGTCAACTCATGTCAAAAAGATCTAAATCTCATGCGAGCTATCAGTGGTACAAACTGGGGAGCCGACAAACAAACACTTATTAATATATACAAAACTCTTATACAGTCTAGACTGGACTATGCTGCTCCGGTCATCCACTCCCTCTCCCCATCCAACCTTCAAAAACTCAATTCTATACAGTACAAAGCCCTTAAACAAGCCCTAGGCACTAGGACTGGCACCTCCCACAACACTCTTCTCCTACTCACAGGCATCCCTTCAATCAAAACACGAATAAATCAAACTGCGCTCAATTACTGGGCTGGGGCCCAACACAACCCAATATACAAACTTATCACAACTAAATACACCAACACTAAAAAATCCACTATTAAAAAATTTAAAAACAACCCAAACAAAGCCCCTCTACTCACTCACCTCAACAGTCTGCTTCACTCACAACACCTAAACACCATCCAGCACACACCTCCCATAACAAGCTACATTCATGACAAACCCCCACCCTCTACAGATACCACCCTAGTAGAAACACTCCAAAATCTCCCTAAAACCACTGACACCCAAACCAAAACAAACCTCATCCAAACCCACATCAACCTAAATTACCCCAACCATACCCAAATATATACAGACGCTTCAGTCGGTACAAATAAACGCATAGGCATAGGCATCCATGTACAACAAACACCCCCCTTAACAACAAACCTCCACTATACAAACCACACAAACATTAACACAGCAGAATTAACAGCAATCCTAACTGCATTACACCTCATCCCCACTATGCCCCACACCAACATCTTAATACTCACAGATTCCCTCAGCGCCGTCAAACAACTCCAACATAAGCACTCAAAATCACGTAACGACCTAATACACAACATAATTATACAGATTCACTCACTGCAACAATTCAATAAAAGCATAACATTAATGTGGATACCAGCTCACACTCACAACCAAGGAAATAATACAGCAGACATAGCAGCCAAACTAGCCACCACACAAAACTCACCAGCCATACAATTCCACACAACCAAAACTGAAATAAAACAACTCATTAAATCTCACATAATAAACCAAAACTACCAACACAACCTCAACACAAACAAATCCACCTGGGTCAAAGCCATCATAACCAAACCTATCACCAAAACCCTCACCTACTCAAACAACAAACACATGGACACACTCATCACTGGACTAATCACTGGCATAACAAACTTAAACCACGCATTATTCAAACAAAACAGACACCCAGATGGACTATGTACACAATGCAAACAACCAGAAACAATTGAACACATATTTACACACTGTCACCTGCAACAAACAAACATCACACAACTACACAGCAGTATACCAGCTAAATATCACAATAATATACATCTACTTTTTAATCCCCTCAACCCGTCAACTATCTTCCATGCCATAGCCACCTTCCTACAAAACTCCAACCTAATCAATAAAATTTAGAACTTCCCAAACAATCCCCACCACACTACCTCTCAATAGCTTATATATTTAGACCAGGCTTCCAAACCTCATTTATCCATACTATTACTCTATCACCAACATAAGCCTACTCAATTAGACCTGGGAAACAAATTTCACCTAACCATAGTTGTCTTATATTCGCTAAAACGTCCGCGCCCTCTCTCAGCCAATCAGCAACCTCTTAAATGTAAATAAACCCAGCACCAGCCCTCGTGTACAAAGGTCACGGCCTCCCTACCAAGCCAGCTCACCCACAGCCTTATAACCACTGCCACGGCCTTTGCCTTATCGTCTCCTTCACCCCCCACCCCACCCCCGTTACAAACCCGTTTTTTCTTTCTTTATTAGGTCCCCTATTATTAAATAATACAGCTTAACTGTACCACTACAATTTAACCCCCAACATGCTATACATTTACTTTATACTCACCCTCACCCCCACCCCACCCCCAACCCTCACCCCCTCACCCCCACCCCCAATTTTATCTATCACATACTTATTCCAACTCCTCTTATTATTAACAACTGCTTTATTTTTCTCTCTTTCTTTATAATTTCGGCTTTTTATTTTATTTATATTATATTTTTAACTATTTTATCCTAAAACTAGTTAAGCTTAATCCCCCATAATTTACATTTTTTGGGGTATGGTGGTTTATCCCTATTATTACATTATTAATTAATTATATATCAACCCCACCTACCCCGTCGGCGACATTGACCATGCTAAAAGCCGATGTTAAACTTTAAATTTCGTTCGTTTATAATGTCAAATGGGGCGGCGGGGTAGCCTAGTGGTTAAAGCGTTCGTTCGTCACGCCGAAGAACCGGGTTCGATTCCCCACATGGACACAATTTGTGAAGCCCATTTCGGGTGTCCCCCGCCGTGATATTGCTGGAATATTGCTAAAAGCGGCGTTAAACCATACTCACTCACTCACTCACTCACTAAAATGTCAAATATCGAGTACGTCAAATATTGAACAGGAAAAGCAATAATGCCAAATATAACCGATCTCAAATAGTTTGTTCCCAATTAAGCCTTGTGTATTGTCAGGTTTACACGCGCAACACGTTTCTCGTGACAGCAAATTATGTTTCTTTCATGAATATAGAAGACCGTGTATACTGTTTCTAGGTTAGGATCCATGCAAATAAATATTTATTGTTTATATTTTTCGTTATACTTTTGTAAAAAATCCATCCGAGGTGAATAGAATTTCATTCTGTTTGTATGCACAGTTGAATACAGCATAAAACCCCACCACCATGTTTCTCATAATGCAGCTGCAGAATTTTCCACTCTACAAACACTGACATGTCGTCATGCTCTTAATCCGTTCAAGAACATGACATGACTCAGGTCGATTAACCCGAGCTTCTTGTCGCATTTACAGTACATTAGAGCAGCAAAGCAAAACGTCTGAAGGTATGTGCAGCTTAGCTTCCTGATTATATAAATACACTGTTATTTTGTGTAACTCACCATTGCAATTTTTCACCTGAAAAACCTTTAACCTAAATCAATAATTGAACCATGGTTTTTCTGAATGGGAATCGATATCTTCAACTCATGCGTCTTCACTGTAGGTATCGTTTTATGTGCTATCGGTTCTCACTCAGAGAAACACATGCTTTAATTGACATCTTCAATCATATCAAATCGGATATCGCCTAAACCGCTAGCCCCATTTTATATGGTATCCAGCACGTCCGCCATGCTATTCCCCGTACCTTGTCTAAACCTGAATTCCACGCAGGATATTATAGGATATTTATATAGCGCACATATCCACGCACTAGTGCATGCTCAAGGCGCTGGTATTTTTCCCCTCGATCATTGGATGTCAATATCAACTGCACATCGTATTAGCAATCTCAACTCCCTGGGGAGTATACAACTTTTGCTGCCACTAGGCGCACCGAGTTATTGTGGCTTTCTCATCCTAATCTCTAGTGCTCATATGCAAAGACGTAACGGTGACGTGAGGTCCATCCACCAACTCTATCTCCCGAATGCATATCAGTAAAACCTGTGTTATGTTTCCCCCTATTGTTTTTCCGTTGTCCCACATTATTGTTTTCTGACGTTACTACCCAGCTAATACAGAAGCGATGTTGAAAAGTTTGGCTGCAATATTGCCGATGTGATGTTAAATATTAACTCACTCACTCACAGAAACTGCAAGTCGTATCAGTCTTGTGGTTCAGCTTTAACCACGGTGTTCCTACATATGCAGTGTCTACACAGTCACATCAAACTGCATTAAAACTCAATGGCAGAAAGCGACGAAGTGTACTCTTCCAAGTCCTCAACTGATTCTACAATATCGAACCTAGGAGCGTGGTCATTAACAGGACATACAGTACAACCAGAAATTATTGAGAATTTAAAGATTGTAAATTTGATTTTTCCACTTTTTTTTACTCACGTTTTAAATGTGAATATTAGCAGAATATAACTACTACTCCTCGAAAGTCATGAAACATGGTATGTTCATACTCAGCGTCTGTCAGTGTTCCTAATACCAAAACTAGCACCAGCATATATGATTTCGACCTTTATCAGTACTTGAACATTTCTTTGCAAAACCGAATGGAGAAGAATGGTATGTGACGCAATATCCTTGTATGAGGAAAATAGGTGGAAACTCAGATTATTACTGAGAAGATCTGGTCAGATACGGGTCAACTCATTCAAAATTTGAGCAGCATATACTATGAAAATTAGCATTAACCTATCCTCATCATAGATATTGCATCCAGTGTTCTCTTAAGAAAGCTTCTAGACCAATTACATCTCGATATTCCAAATGTTGCAGACATGCGTTTGATTATTCTGCAAATATGTCCTTCATCTGAAAAAAGTATTAGACAACCCTCTCTTTAGTAGTACTAGAGTGGGGGTTTTGCCGCACATGCGGCTTAGAGGCTTATTTTTATGAAATAAGTACCCCAGCCCCCCTTAAAAACGGCAATGGTCTATCGAGAGGCATCCTTCGATGTGCCTCCAGCAAAGTTCCGAATATTGACTGATCGGGAGTCCCGGTGGTATGAAGGTAGAGCGTAGGACTCGTAATCCAGCGGCGGAAACTTCTGCAAGTGAAACCAGCACCGTCGTTGCTATTTTAAACAAGATGGTGGTCCAACCTAGTAACGGCGGCCCTGGCAGATCCGTCGTTGCTAAGCCAAACAAAGATGGCGGCCGAGCTTAGCAACGCCGTCTAGACCTGACGTCAGAGTATTTCTCTTTTTGTGGCCTGTCACGTGGGTATTGAATACAAAGCAAGGCACACAGCCGTATTAAGGCTGCTGGCTGGTTGTAGCGAAAAGGATGTTTGAAACCAGACGCTGAAAAACATTTTTAGTAGCCACAATCAATTATTTTAAAATCGGGTTACATAAGCTTGGAAACCGTACGAGTTACATTGCTAAAAAACAATTTGCTTGATGTGCATGCATCTAAACAGAAGCTGTATCCTATCTGCTCTCGCCTGACTGCCTACGGTCGGGTTGACCTCGTGTGGGTTTCTTGAAAAGTAGTAGTACGATGAGGGTTTATTATTTTTTTACTAGGTTATGTTTGCATCAACAAAACAGTTTAAGGTAAATCTTTGATGAGATCTTTGTTCTTGGTAAGGAAGGTTTGAATGATTTGTTGTCGACCCCGTTCTATGAGCTTTTGTTTCTCGTCTTCACCGATGTCAGCGATTTTTCGAGTCTTGGTTCGAATCTCTTCTTTCATGCGGTGGTATTTCGCGATTTCGCGACTTCCTCGGAGATTTTGCTATCGATGATCGCGGTGAAAATATGATTGTTGATCATGTTTAACTTGGCTTCGGCAAGAACCCTGATCTCGTCATGCTTCAGCCCTTTCCGTTGCAGACGACGTGAAATGAATTTAAGGGCTACTCCCGCCAGCCCCGATCCCGCGACAGTTATTTCTAACCTGAGGACGACGGGTGTGGCCACGATGGTGGATGATAAGCCAACGCCTGCTGCGCCTAATCCCATGCTAACTGCCACGATGAGGCTCACGAGCACACTCCTTTGCGAGGGGACGTAAGACGCGATGAAAATCCCCTGATTGAGGACTTTCGTTAAATAGTGATCCTTCGACTCCGCAAACACGTAGGGAGAAACGAGGGTGGTATCGAGTAGCCAGGCGATTTGGGAGGAGATCAACGTCCATTGGTTATCATCGGTGAGGACGAACTGGTACAACGTGTTTTCTAAGAGACCTCGGGTCTCAACATTGTCTAAATCGCCTAGATTGCCATCGAATGCCGGGACCATCATCCATTTGTTATTGTCGTTGAGGACGACATTGTACTGGGTGTATTTTAAGAGACCTCTGGTGATGACATCGTCTAAATCCCCTAGGTTACCACCACCACCGCGGACGTCCGCTCGCCTGTAAGTGTTGTTTCTTAATTCTAAACCGTATATTTTGCCTTCGACCCCGGGATCGTCTCCGAGGTCGGAGATCGCTGCGGTAGGACAATTTCTAATTCGCATGACCGTTCCTGGACCCGAAGCTTGAGTCATCATTGTTTGATGTGCAGTGTGGCGCTTAGATAGCCGATATGTATGGGTTTATGTCTTATGTCTAAAACGGATAGTTTCAATTCCGCAATGTTGCCCCGCGTTAACTTTTTGTACTGTAAGGTCGAAAACGATTCCGTTCTGCCGTCGTTGCACTTTTCCGTTTTGACGGGCACGGATCTCAGCAGCGTGGAAGGGCGTTCGCCTTGAATGTTGTCCGTCATGCTTACGCGATCGAGATGAACGAACCTCGTTCTAGACCACGAGGCTCGGTAATTTCGAACCCGTGATGGTGTCTCGGGGTTGTACGTTGTTCGACGGGAACCCAAGCGTTCTCGCCAAGGGCCTACCGAATCGGATGGGTTTTTTCCCATTCGTGAACGTCAGCGTGCCATTCGACTCGTTGACTTTGAGGCTGGCTCCCATGGGTTTGAAAATTTCGTTGTTGAGCATGCAAACGCTGTAATAACTGTCGGACAACTCGTGGCGATTGCCATCGATGAATAGCTTGTTGTTCCCTTGACGTTGTTCCCTTGACCCGCCCATCGCGGGTAGTAGGTGAGATCGCAGAGCACGACTTCGAGGTCCCCCCGACATGCGCAGCAGTAAAACGGGCTCGACGTTCGTGATTCCCGGGAGCGTGACGTACATGTTACACATATACGGGACACTGCGGTATACTTTCAATATGGCTACACCCAAGTACCAGCCGGGAGTGATTTATCATAACAGCGATAATTTAAGTCACGCACATGAAAATCGTGGTGGATGCGAAGAAGGGTTCCCGACTTTCGAGCTTGATTTATCCTTGTATTTGAAAGGTATAGGCTATTGGTCACGAACGTCAAGGCAGTCCACACCTGGTTTCACAACCCGATGCAATTCTGGCAGCATCAATTCAATTTCGCCGTGTGGTGCGCGACGACCGGATGCGGCGTGACCTTGAACAACACGCGTCGCGATCCGCTGAGTAGGTCCGTGTTCTATTTCCACGTGTACTACCAAATCAGACGCATCCTGAAAGAGATAAACGGCCGGATTCAGTAAAGCTTTTAAAACTCGTTATGGTTGACCTGTGGCGAACATGGCCATATTTCACCAGTGAGACAAATGCCCCATACAATTGTTTTACCACATATTTAACTAATGCTCCCATGTTTTTCTTAAGGTGAAATATTTACTTGCTTACACAGTTGTTTGTTACGGATGCCACCGGTGGAGCAAGGTATGCGTACCTCTCTCCCCAACACGTGGTGTCCTCACTCACTTTGGCCGACATTCTAATGATTATTAAAATGTTTTCGAAGTTTTATTTATTTATACCGTCACAGTATTGTCTAAATGATTATTTACAGTCTGTCTTCCTATCAACGTGCCAGAGTGTAGTGTGAAAAACAAAGAAACAAATTTACAAAACTATTACAAAAAAGCTGGATTCACGCCTGTAAGAAATAAACTCTGATTTATCTACGTTCAACATCAATCAACAAACTGGCAAGTTATACTAACAATGTGATAATGAGGACATGTATGATTGTGTAGTTGAAACACGTACATATTATGTTTAAGCATTTACGTTCAACTCAATGCACTACAAAAATGTATATTTGGGGTAAATTGCATATGTGCAACAGCTGACATGGGGAAGTACTGTCAGGACAGTCTACAATGTCATCCAGTACCAGATTGTAGTATCTGACTGCATTTACGATGAAAACGTCATATATTCCGGTCAACTTGTAGACTGTGGAGGCACAGAAGCTGAGTACGAGTTATCCACCCTTGCTTGTCGTAAGAGGCGACTAACGGGGTCAGTGAAGGTCCGGGTTAGAATTTGTCTTCAGTAACCCATGCTTGTCGTAAGAGGCGACGAACGGGGTCAGT